TGAGTAAATTAGATAGAGACTTAATTTTAGTACTATATTTTTCAATATAAAATATACATATCTAGTCTAATAAAAAATTTAAAAAATAAATAAATAGCTTTTATGTAATGATCTGTAGGTCATAAAGTTAATAGTTGGAAGGGTTTTTACCTAAACTACTAATGGAGTAATAAATTTTTTTCAAAGTTATACTTAAGAATTTTAGGAAATTTACAAAATATAATAAATTATTTATAAAATTCTGATAAATTTTTAATGAATTGATAATTGATTTTTATTAAATCATTAATTAATTATTATTAAATTTTTATTAAATTGATAATAAATAATTTTGTAATAAATTTTATTAAATTATTAATTAATAATATATTTAAATATTTAATTATTATATTAATAATTATTACTTTATTGTTAAAATAAGTATATATCAAATAATGCTATTTGAAAATCTTTTCATTAATAAATTTAATTAAATTTGATAATAATTTAACTATTAAATAATATAATTTTGATTAATAAGAACTAATCACTATAAATATAAATATTAGAACTTATGAAGAAAAAGGATTTAAATTTAAAACTTATTAAGATAAAGTTATATTTTAATAATTTACATAATAAAAAAATCAATATTTTTATTCAAAGAAATCTTGAAGCTTTTAATGATAGAATAAAAAAGTTTAGCTTATTTAAGATTATTATAAAAATCAAATAAGAAAATACAATAATAATTAATTTTATAAGGCAGTTTATTAAGAAGTGAACAATATAACAATAGTTTATTAATAAATATAACAAAATAAAATTGAGAAAAAGTAAAGATAACAAATTTAAAATCTAGCAAAAGAAAAAATAAAAGATAAATACTGTATATACAAAACTTTTTTTAAAAAATATTTAAAAAAAGCTTTTTTATCAAATTGTTAATAATGAGTTATTGATATTAAGTAAAGTTGACTATAAAAAAATTAAATCTATATAAGTAAAATATATTATATATATATAAGCAATAAATAAAAACAATAAAATATTTATTAAAATATTTAGTTTACAAGACCAATTACAAGAAATATAAGATAAAGAATTAAAAAAAGTTTTTGGTGAATTTAAGAAGCAACTTTAGTAAAAAAGAAAAACATGACAAAAGAAAAGAATATTAGATTAATTATAAATAATAAAGAAGAAATAAAATAAATAAATAAATAAATAACTTGTGCAATAGCAACCTGTCAGCAATGATGTTTAAGTTAGAAGTTAGTTTTTGATTAATTAAAGTTTATTTACTAATTAAAGAACAAATAGATTTATTTTTATATAGTGAAATTAATAATTCAAAAATAAATTAAAATAAATTAAAATATATTTATGCTTAGAAACAAATTTTTATATGGTAAATAATTATTTTGCATCGGAAATTTTTATCAAGAATTTACCGTATATACTGTAAATGCCCATCGGGTATATTGTTAATATTTAGAATCGTTGATACCACAACCCAATCTCAAAATTTATAATATTTTAACAAATTCTTAAAAATTGTGATAATATATCTTAATAATGAAAAAATTTTTATATGCATTTACACATCACATCATCCTAAAAAAAAAAAATGAAACCTATCACAAAACACGTAGCGAACTTTTTTGGCTTTATGATAGTAACTTTTGCAACCGATACGTCAGTTTCGTGGTTTGATTGCTCGCGAGTCGTCGAGAGGATGTATGCTTGTATTACTACTTTCACACTGTTGAATTGCTCGATTAACATCTCACGTTCCCATGAATTTGTTATGTGGCGAGTGATAATGTATACAGGATGCGTTTTATTTTTGCCTATTAATGTATTATTAATTTGGAGTTCTAATTTTACTATTACATTCAATATTACAGGGCCATATTAGCCTATTATTGTCTATACGTAGTCGAAATTAAGGAATAATGGTTTCGACTAACGGGAAATAAATAAAATAATAATAATAATTAGCTATTTTACAACATCTCAAAAACACCTCAATTTTTTGTGTGTGTCTTTTTACAAATACTCTCCCCATCCCCCTAGGATCGATGTTACGTTGCGTCCTACCAAAACACCAACGTAAGGATCGTAACCGCCAATGCCACCATTCCAACATTTCCTTTCTCCGTTCTTAAAGTCTCTGCGCTTCCCGTTATTCTGTACGGCATCGCCGATGGAACCTGCTCTGGAGATGACTGCGTCTCTGTTGTTTGCAATTGATCTGTAGCATCGGAAGTGGGTGACAATACTATTTCTGTCGGCGATGATTGTGAAGTTGAGGATAAAGAATCAGACAATAATGTCTGGGAAGAATCGGAAGGAGGAGTAGGTGTGGTGGATATTTCAAAAGCGAGTTTAGTGGAAACTATAAGTGACAGTGGCATTTGAAGTGGATCTTCTCGTTGGTTCAGCAGAGGATAATAGTCACGTCCGCATTCTGATGAGTTCTGTTTGCAGAGATCGGTAAAGTCTAAATTATCTGCCGCCCGTTTCTCAATGTCTGTTATTTCATCTGGATTGATTATGATGGCGAGAGCGAGTAGTGCACCGAATACAAGGACGATTGTTATTAGGGAATACGGGAGTGTGCGCATTCTTGATAGACTATCTTCGACTATTACGACGAGACTGTCTTTGTTTTTACATTAAATATTCTCTTTCTCCAACGGATGGAAAAAGATATTATCATGGAAACTTTTTCTCTATGTTTGTGGAAGAAGGTAGAATGCTGTTAGAAGTTTGGTTAAAGATCCTAGCAAGATGATTAAATCATGAATATTTTCAAAATGTCGAAAAGAAAATGTGCATCAAATGGAAGGAACAATATAATCGAACGAGTAAAACTTGGATAAATAATTTTCTTTTTATATATTTACCTCCTAATGAGAATGCGGAATCCTTTTTTTTTTCAATTGCGAATTGAAGGGGAATTAAAGGTAGGATTATCTCAATTCGTGCCCTGTTTGACTATCTCGATTCGGTATTCACAGTTTATGCCGTTCTTTGAGGGCAAAGGGGTATCGTTGATTTGTTGTTCACTACTGCAACGGGGTTGAAATTATGTTTTCTCGAAAAAAAAAAATGCAGCGGACAGATATTAAGAAGATAAAAAAAGAGAGATCTCAGTTTGATGCGAGGGTAGAATTGTTGCATTTTTTTAAAAGAAAAAAATGGTTGATATATTTGGTGTGACAGAAAAAAAAAATAAAAATAAAAATAGTCAGCAGTTGAAACATCATTCAGTATATACATATACTAGTACGTACTGTATACAGTTGGGTAATGCATCAATTATTGAATTGAATATGCATCACGTTACATATATTGTGCCTCAAAGAAACTTGCTAAATGTCAACCATTTATCGTTATCTTTGTTATACACTAACTATAAGGAAACTTGGTATTCTCTGTGTGTGTGCACCACGGACAATCGTATTCCTTGACCGATTGGGTGAGTTCATGTTCAGGTCCTAAATGAATTACATGTTACTCTTTGGCGGCGCCTAGTCACGCTCAAGACTTGCTTATATACTGTACGTTCCTAATACTGTATATTCTTATCTACACTCGCATTGTTTATCATCAAGACACTACGTATCCTAAAAAAAATCATCATTTAGCGGTAACTTCAATTCATTATTTGCTTTCTAAATATGTGCGACGAAATGGGTTTGCAATAACAAAAAAAAAGCACGAAAAAAAAAAATAAATAAAAATAAATAAATAAAAAAGATAAAAAACCAAAAGAAAAAAAACCAAAAAGAAGGAAAAAAAAGGAAGAGGAGTTCAATGTTACGTAACCAATCTTTCATGATCGGTTGTAGTACACACTCACATCCGATTTCCCTAGGCGCCTCCCGTAATGGACTTTAAAATGGTCATTTCCGTATCTCCACGCCACTTTCTCCGAGCGCAAAAGGCTTTGTTATCAGAATTACACGAATTGGGCCAAGGATATTAAGAAAAAAAGATACCAATTTTGAACCTCCCATTTAGCTTTTTATTCGAATAATCGTCAAACATCTGTCAAAAAAAACTTTTAAACCTGGCAGGATCTCCGTTTGTTTTGTGATTTCATACTTTGTTCCTGTTGCTAAACGATCATATTGATTATCGTCAATTCTGTTCTATTCACAATAAGCGTAGATTTACACGTTTGCGTCATATGCAATGAAAATATATACATAGGTTGCGTGTGTGTGTGTGTATGGGTAGGGTTCCAGTGCGGGGGTATTCATCGTGCAGCATCTATGCATTGTTCTCGGATGAAATTTTCATCCTACATGTTTAAATAGAACATGCTATACACATATCGAAATTGGGGTGTGTGTAGCGCATAGCGTGATATAAAAAAAGGTTGAACGGAATTACGGAGTCTATCTATTCTATTTGGGAACCTAATAAAAATTTTTTGGTGTTTGTTGGAAATCAAAATTTTCTAGAATTATCATTCTTAAACTTATCAAAATCTCAATTTCGTAACAAACCATGTGAAAATCCCTTGTTATTAGGAAAACTTTTGTTCCAATTGCGTATTTATTTATAAGCAAGAAAAAAAAAAGGTATCCTGTTAAGAGAATTGCTGTAACAATAGATGGTATATCCGATTATGTTACGTGAAATCATTGAAATCAGTTAATACGTATAATGAAGAAATCGGATTTTATTAATGTTACCAATTAGGAATTAGGCGTTAGATCAAAAACCAATAGTATATATAATACGTTAAATTGATGATAATTTTTTTAGAATTAAAATGAACCGATATTAATTATAGTATAATCGAAGGATATCATATTCACGTGTTCCGATGATGTCATTGATGATTGGAAAGAAAGTTTCAGAAATGTTTGCTCTCAAAAAGCTCAAGTCTCTTAATAAAAACTTCATGATACCAAAAGATCAAGTCATGGGTAATGTGGATTGCAAACT